CCCCCCCCCCCGGGTAGCAGGACTGCCCTGGCCCGGCCCTGGCCTACCTCGTGGAATTCGGGGTTCAGGGTCTTCTTCCGAACACTGGTCTTATATTTAGTTTTTTTCCCCACATTTGGATGCAGGAATCTGATTGGGGAGGATGGGGTCGGGTTAGGTGTGGCTCTGGAGAGGTGAGCCCCAGAGGGGCTCTGAGGAATCCCCATGCCCACCTGTCCACCCTGTTCACACTCACAGGCGGACGAAGGGGTCCGAGTAGCCATTGGCATCCATGGGGGCCAGGTGGGCGCATCGCAGCACCCCGACCAGCAGGCCGCCCCGCTGAGAGCTGTAGCACAGTGACAGCAGGATGCGCCCGCGCTCCTCCCCAGCCACCTCTGCCACCTCCTGCAGGGTAGGCTGGGGTCAGCCCCTGTGGCCCAAAGCCCACCCACCCACCAGTACGGCCAGGGTGTGAGCTCAGACTGGCTGCAAAGAAGTCAGGGGCCAATGATTTAACTTCACGGTTCAATTTCACAAACTCATGGACCTGGTGCCCTGGAAGGGACTGACTGGCACAGGTCAACTGTTCCCTCCAGAACCTAAGAGGGGGAGGGGCTTGCTCAGGCCACGTGACTGGGCAGTTCCCATCTTTGCCTGGAGAGGAAGGGGACTGATGTTGAGAGCCACAGACAGGCCGGGCCCTTGCTGATGGCCATCCACTAGGTGCCCACGCCACCCTCCTACGGGTAAAGCCCATGTCTCGGGAGCAGCTCAGAGAGGCTATTCTCCACTCAACACCCGCCCTCCTCACCCCACCATCCTGGGGACCAGATGCCGAATGCCTTTGCCACGAGGAGCCCGGGGGAGGCTGGGAAGGACATGTGCCTCCCATTCTTAACATAGGAGTCGATTTGCAGGAAGTCCAACCACCGCGCTAGCATTCAGTTCTTCCTATGGGAGCGTCCGTGGGCACCTGCCGTGCACCCCCGCCCTCAGTGAGAGGGTCAGGAAGTGGGCGGCACCGGTTACCAGCCCCACGGAGATGGGACTTGCCTGGCCTTTAGGCATCAGCTGCAGTAACTTGTGGCTCCACTAGGCGGCAGGGCAGCAGCACTGGACCTTCCATCCGAGAGGGGCCTGGGCCAGTCCTGCCTCAGCCTTGCAGCATCCCTGCCCCTCCCAGGCCAAAGGGGTTCTGGCCTGTCTTTGGTCTCCCCTGGGGCCCCTCCAGCCACTGTCACTGCCTCCTGACAAGGGCTTTTCTAGGGCTACCAGCCCTGGGAGTGGCACCCACGTTGACCCCTGGGAGCAGCCAGTGAGTCCCAGCTGTCCATTCCCTCCTGCCCTCCCAGCTGCTCTGGCCTCAGACAAACCCCATCAGTTTCAGCACCTGCCTCCAGGTGGCCTGCGGGCTTTGTGTATCCCAGTGCCCCACACATACTCTGGCCTGGCTGCCCCCAGGGCTCCGAGCACTCGCAGAACATATGGGGGGTGGCCTCTGTCTCCAAGCCCACCTCCCCACCTGCCTGATGCCCGAGTACCCCAGGCCTGTCCCCTTCACCTCCTGCTCAGTTCCACTGTCCCACGCACCTCATACAGGGACATGCCCCGGGATGTGTCCAGGCGCTCCGGCCTCTTGGTCTGAAAGGGCAGAGAGCCTGGTCACCTTGGCCAGACACTGCCCAAGTTTCCCTCCCTGCCCGCCCCCTCCAGCTCCCCCATCACAAGATTGCTGGACCCCAAAGCCCCACCTCGTGTGCCACCGGACTCACCAGCCTCCGCTTCTCCAGACACACACTGAAGCTCCTGGCTCGGTTGGGCACCAACCTCCTCAGGGGCACCCGCAGCTCCCCCAGGGGAGGCACTCGCCGCCGCCGTGGCCGCAGCCCTGGGTCCTCACACACACACAACCTGGTGGCCACCCAAGTCAGACCTGGGCAGGCAAGCCCCACTCCCCCCTGTCCCCTTGGGCCCAGCCTCAAGCCTCACCGCAGGGTCTTGCGCCCAGCATCCTGGTGGGTGAAGCCGTGGTAAGTGAGCGTCTCTTCCCAGACAGGCCCCCTTGTGCCCCGAACGGTGCGTGTCCTCAGCTGGCTGGCCTGAGGGCCAGGCAGGGGGGGTTAGGGCCTCCTCGGCCCCAGGGCCCCACCCTGGCCACCTCCCCAGTAGAACCCCCAGTTGTGCAGCCTGCAATGGGAGCTCCAGGCCTGATGCCCAGGCCTCGTGGGGAGGATCCGGCCAGGACAGGTGGGTGTGTGGCTGAGGGGCAGCAGCAGGAGCCTGGGTCTTGCCCTCACCTTGCTGGCCCCTGGCAGCAGATTGGCTTTGACATAGGTGTCCAGGGAGCCTGAGGCTGGTGGCTTGAGGCCCTGGGAAGAAACAACAGATATGGGGCAGGCCTGTGCCCCAGGCCCACGGCTCAGGGACCCCCGCCCACCCATCCTTACCTTGGCACGGTGAGCCGTGCAGTGCAGGGTGCTGTTGTCCGCATCAAAAAGAAGTGTGAACTCGAGGGTGCCCAGGGTAGCTAAGGGCAGGTGGCACGCAGGTCAGTTCCTCTGGCACCCTGCCACCGTGGCACCATGCCTCCTGCCCTTCCCCTCACAGGTCAGATGCCCGGGATGCCTGAGACCCCATCCTGGCTGGGCTGGGCCCAGGGTGTCCTCATCCGCTGCCCCCACTCACCGCTGTCGTCTGAGTCTCCCTCTGGCTCTGGGTCTGGCTGCGGCTGGGGTGCAGAGCTGGCGGGAGACACTGCAGGGTGTGGGTCTGGGGCACCCCGGGCAGGCTCAGCAAAGGGGTAGAAATGCGGGAAGTAGTCAGAAATGAGGGGGATGGGCTGGATGGGTCCCGGGTTCACATCGATGGCCATGTGCTCCTGCATGCTCACCCGCTGGGGCCGCCTCCAGCCCGCTGCTGCCGTGCCCGCCATGGGGGCTCAGGCCAGGGAAGGGGACTCAGACAAGCCCCCTTGGACGGGGTATGAGGGGGCCACACGGGGCCGAGACATGGTGAAGAGGCATCGCTGAGGGTGCTGAGAAGGGTCCTGGGTGGCAGCCGGGGACCTGAGGACAGAGGGCAGGGTTGGGTGGGTGGGGAAGAAGTGGGGGGCTTCAGCCTGGAGGGAGACCCCGTGTGCTAGCAGTGCCTGCTGGGCACTTACCTCTCTGAGAGCTCTGCCACCTGGCTCTGTTCGCTGCTGGCGCTGGGTATGCGCCTGACTGAGGTGACTCATCTGTGTGACCAGGGCCTCCTGGCACCCGCGAGGGGGGGCGGAGCTCAGAGCCCACCTCCAGGGCTCAGGAGAGGGCACTTCCCTGCCCTCAACTCCAGGGGTCCCTTACTTAGCATCAGCCTCCCTCCGCCCTTGTCAGCCCCTCCCCCTATTCACACGCCCTCAGTTATTTTTACCACCGTCATGGGACCTGCTCCAGGGCGAGGAGGCCGGATGCCCAGTGGTGACAGGGGTGTCAGGGGCAATGGGAGGGGGGTGTGGGGATGAAGAGGTAGGTGAGAGGGAAGGGGTGCAGGAGGAGGGAGCATGTGGGGGGGGGTGGGAAGGGGCGGGGTGTGGGGCACTTTGGAAGGTATGGAGGGGCGCAAGGGGCGGTGAGATGGAGGGTTCATGTGGAATGGGAGGGGTGCCCGGGAAGGAGGGGCCACTTGGGGAGGAGAGCATTGAGGTCTGGTCCCCTTGCAGCTCAAGCTTTTTGAAACATGGATGGAATCACATCAACTCCTCTCTCTCCTTTTGTGGGCTTGGAATAAAGCCCACCCCATCACTGAGGCACACCCCTAGGCACCCCTCATCTCCACATTACTCCTCATGGTTTCCGTGACACCCCAAGCTTTGTGCATGTGCAGCTGCTGCCCTAACTGTCCTACTCCACCCTTTGACCTGGCTCACTCCTGTCTTTGGTTTCAAGGTCACGCTCTGAAGGGGAACTTGGCTGGCTTTTACCTGCTCAGCATTCCCGTTTCCCAGTCAGTGGTCCTTTGGAGGCCACCCCTTCCCTATTCCCAGCCTAGGGGGTTCATCCTCCTCCCCAGGGTGGTGCCGCAGACCCTGCCAATCAATGAATTCCAAATCCAGCAGGACACGTGGCAGGCTCAGGGAAGGCCTGCTGGGTCACAAGTCAGTGCCGTGCAATTCTGGGTCACACTGGCCAAGCAACTCTCTTTTCTGTGGATGGAACACTGGTGCCCCCCTAGAGCTGTTGCCCTCTCCTCGCCTCTCTCTGTGGAATAGAGACTGCTCCTGGGAATGAGGCCAACACAGTGGAAAGCACAGCCAGAGAGAGAACCCCTGGATACAGCCATGCCTGAAGCCGCTTTAACCCTGGAGTTCATAATCACCATTCCCCTTCTGGCAACGTCAGCTAGTGGGTGCAGCTTTCTATCACTTATCCTGGCTAAACCTGCCCAGTCCACAGGCCAAAGTCCAACTGTCCCTGCCCCCCCCCCGAACTCTTACACAGAATCCTGTATAATTCCACTATTATTTATATGTGATCGTTTAATGTGCAACCACACGATTATCTGGTCTAAGGTCTCCTTTAGTCTGAGCCCCACCCCCCCTGCTCCCCCAGAGGCCAGGACAACATCTGGCTGGTCCGCAGACGTGGCCCCAGCACAGCAACTGGTGCATGGTGGGTGCTCATTAGTCACGGGCAGGGCTCCTCTCCATATTCCTGCGGCCCAGCAAGTGGCCAGCCAGGCACGGAGGAAGGAACCTACAGTGGCTAAGGGTCTGGGCTCTAGTCAGAGAGGGCCCGGTTCAAATCCCAGCTCGGTCAAGCTGTCTGTCCTCTCTGAGCCCAGCTCACCAGCCGAGGACAGTGCTGGCCCCACTCACAGGGCTGAGGTGAGGGTGAAATGATGCTGAGTGCCTGGTGCAGGGTAAGTGCCCACTGCTGAGGGTGACAGAGTGCTTGGACAGGGGTGCCCCAGCCAGGAGACCAGCTGTCCCATGGCATCTGCTCGAGGTCAGGGCCCTAGCGCAGAAGATGCAGTTGCCCAAGAGTTTGTAAAGGCTCTTTATTCAGTCCTGAGGTGGCGCTGGCCTGGCAGGGTGAGGGCAGGGGCTGCCAGGGACCAGTCTTCAGCCCTGGAGCCTCCACGCCCCAGGGAAATCCAGGCGGGGCTGGTAGGCGCCAGGTACCAAGACCTGCAGGGTGAACTCGGTGATGATGGCGGTGAGCCCCCAGACGCGGTGTGGCCCGTGCAGGAAGACAGGCATTGTGTAGCGGAAGTGGCCACCCTTGCAGAAGTGGGTGTAGCCTTGGTTCTGCACCTGCAGCAGGTGGGCCAGGGGCAGTGCAAACACTTCCTCCACCTATGACAGGAGGCAGCGAGAGGGTGGACAGAGGGCTGACCATGGCAGCTTCCCCCCATTGGGACAACCCAGTCCCCCGGCATCCTTGCCCCTACTCACCTCCTCGGGGTTGGGCTGGAGGCTCTGGGGATCCAGCGGGCCCACTCCGGCGAGCACCGGCACCACGGTGTTCTTTGCCTGGGCCAGGGAGGCAGGCAGTCAAGGGAGGCATGGCCTTGGCAGGCCCTTGGGGCTGGAGAAGGGAGGCTGAGAGGGAGACCCCACCCTTGCCATCCAGAGGCCGTTAGCAGTCAAGGCCAGGTCCATCTGGCCCCTGTCCTGCGTGGGGCTCACTCCAGCCAGGCTGACCGACTCAGTTTCCCCATTCAGGCCCCTGGGCCTTCGCAGATGTTCCCCCACTTAGAACAACCTTCTCTTACTTTTACTACCTTGAAACCTGCCGCTTGTCATTCAATCCCTTCCTCCCCTATGGTCCTTCCCCAACCCTCATCCACCAAGCTGAGCAGAGCTGGCTCACCCCAGAGCCACTTCCACCGGAACCTGAGCCTCAGTATCCCTGTGAGAAGAGGATAAAAATACCCCTGGCCCCGCCCTGATGGGTGGTGGCGGATGGGAGAGGAGGGACAGGCAGGTGCCTGGTGCTCACTGCATTCTGCACCTGCGGGAGTCCCTGACCAGCTCCTTGTCCCTGGGGCCCCGGTGCCTAGCCCAGGGCAGAAGAGTGGGTGAATGGGGTGAAGGGTGGCTGTGGCCTCAGAGCCTGGTGGGCTCACCTGGTCATAGACGGGCTGCAGGACACCCCACACATGGTCCTCGGGCACAGCCAGGCCCAGCTCCTCCCGGGTCTCCCTCAGGGCCGTGTGCACCACATCCTGGTCAGCCGGGTCACACTTGCCACCTGGGAAACTAAACAGGCACAGGAGCCTGGTCCTTGGACTGCTGGGCACGGACGGCGGGGATGGCGGGGCGGCAGAGGGCCAGTGACCCCTAAGCGCCTGCCCCGCGTTTAGTGAGGCCTCCGGACCTCCCCAGGCTCTTTACCTCCTTGAGCAATGGAGGTGAGGGAGAGGGCCTGGAACTCGTGCAAATTCTGTCTGTGGCAGCCCCCAGGCGCCCACAGGGACCCTAGGGTGTCCCCAATTTCCGCCGAGGGCGGGGCCAGGGCGGGAAGCCGGAAAGCCCCGCCCCACGGCTTTCAAGACTCTGGGACCAAGTCTTCCTACCGCGGCCAGGAGAGGTGCTGCCCCTCTAGGGAGGGGGTCCCAGCTCAGAGAGGGGTCCCAGCTCAGAGAGGGGGGTCCCAGCTCAGAGGGAGGTGTCGCGGGCACCAGGCGATGCGGGCGCGCTTGGAGGGAGCCGGCGCGGCGCCCGGGCCGACGGGCTCTCCGCAGAACCATTCTCCAGAGGCGCAAACCGAGGCTCGGAGAGGCTCAGTGCCCTCCCGCCAGCGGGGAGAGGAGTCCCGGGCGGTGTACCTGACGTCGCCCTTGTGCCTCCCGACCAGGCGGCTGGACCGCAAGGTGTAGAGCAGCGCCGGGACTCCGCGCACCGAGCACAGCGGCACGAGCACCGCGGCCGCTGCGGGCCGCGCGCGGAACCGGGCCGTGGCCTTTGCCAGCAGCTCCCGGCAGCGCCGCTCGCCCTCCGCCGACAGGCAGTCGGGCAGCATGTCCGGCCGGGCGCCGCCGCGGGAGGCGGGGGGCGGGCAGCGCTCGGGAGCTCCGACCCGGCGCGGGCGGCGCAGCGAAGGGCCCGAACGCCCGCCCCGCCCCGCCCCGCCCCAGCCCTTGGGGCTCCGAAGTTGCCCGGGCGGTTTCAAGGCACAGCGGTGTAAGGGGCGTGGCCTGCGCAAGGGGCGTGGCCTGCGCAGGGGGCGGGTCCCAGAAGGGACCGGTGGGCGGGGCCGGAAGGGGCGGGGGCCGGTGTCCTGGCTGCCCGCAGAGGGCGGCCTGGGCCGGGCCGGAGCTGGGATGGGTGGTCAGGCTTGTGTGTCCTCGACCTTCGGTCGTGCTCGGCCCGGGGGCGAACTCAGCCCTTCCGACGCGGAGCTCAGGAATCGGGGTGTCTTGCTGCGGAGGCCCCGCCGGCTCCCGTCCCTCTGCGCCCGTGTGTGTCCGTTCCTCTCCAAGGACCTCACAGGAACTGCTCCAAGATGGGCGGAGTCGGCGTTTAGGGGGTTCATGGGGCGCCCCCTAGATATCAGGGGCCGCGCCGCGACCTCGCGCTCCCGGGACCCACTCCGGCCTGGCCTTTCCCGGAGCTGTGTCCCCTCTCCCTCTCCTTTCTACTCCTTTTTTCCTTTTTCCTCTCTACTCCTTTAGGTTTAAATGTCACTTTCTCTAGAACAGCGGTTCTCAACCTGTGGGTCACAACCCCCTTGGGGGTCGAACGACCCTTTCACAGGGGTTGCCTAAGACCATCGGAAAACACATATATAATTACATATTGGTTTTGTGATTAATCACTATGCTTTAATTATGTTCAATTTGTAACAATCAAAATACATCCTGCATATCAGGCATTTACATTACGATTCATAACAGTAGCAAAATTACAGTTATGAAGTAGCAATGAAAATAATTTTATGGTTGGGGGTCACCACAACATGAGGAATTGTATTAAAGGGTCTCGGCATTAGGAAGGTTGAGAACCACTGCTCTAGAAGCTCTCCCGTGTCAAGTCTCTATCAGATTCTCAAGTCCCTCCCCCACCCGATCGTGGCCCCCGTGGCCATTGCCTATGGTGGTTCTGTAACCCTCGGCCAGACGACCCCAACCTGTGCACAGCACCTAGACGTTGAGTGGCAGGTGTCATCAAACCTTGACTTGAGCAAGTACCTCTCTGAGCTGCAATTCAGGCCTCATCCGGGCACACAGATAGGGAGCAGGAACTCCGCCTCCCACCCAGCCCTGCCCCTCGCTGGTGTCACCACCTTTACCATCACTGTGCTTCCAGGGATGCTGGTGGCACTGGGAGAGCTTTGGGGTGTGCAGCCCAGGCTCTGGCATTGGAGTGTCCCTGAGGCCCTCCACCCTCAGCCCTGAGGACAGAAGCGCTCTGACCACCCATGCCAAATGGTTTAATGTTTGGGGTAAGGAAGAGGGGGAGCAGGGTCTGGAGGAGTCACCCCCAAGGCAGAAGGGTACAGGTCGGGAAGTAGGAGGCCTGGTTCCTAGCCTGGCACCATCCCAGCCTTGCTGAGATTCTGGGCAGGTAGCCTCCCTCTCTGGGCTTCTGTGTTCACTGCTCTCCTTGGGGAGGGCGGGGCGTCTCTGCAGAGGTGAGGCTGGAGGGCGTGGGGTCCAGGGTAAGAGGACTGTGTCCACAGGGTACCCATCATCACTGAGGGTCCTGCTGAGACCTCAGGCAGGTGGCAGTGGGAGCCAGGAGCCCCATCCCAGCTGGGAGGGGCAGGCCCCCCTGATCCCTGTCAGCCTGGATATTGGGGAGGGGATATGGCGTCGGCCGGGCCCTTGGGATTCCAAGAGAGCTTGAGGCTCCAGGGTACAGGTCCTGATAGGCGAGGGCCCGGTAGGTGGCGGGGGCCAGCAGAGCCTCAGGGGTGGCCAGCAGCTGGTGGTGGAGCCGAGCAGGGCTCCTGGAGGTGGAAGCTGGAGCTTTGCTGGGATCTGAGGGAGGAAGTGGTCTGAGCGAACCCCAGCCTCCCCGCACAGCCACACCGGCCCTTCTCCGCTTCTCCCATCCCAGGTTGCCCACCTCAGCCTTTGCTCCTGCTCTTACCTCTGCCTGGGATTTCTTTCTCACTTTCTCCTTCCCAGTCCTGCAAGGCCCAGCTTGGGAACCACCTTCTCCAGGAAGTTCACCTGTTCGACCCCCCTACCCCCTTAGAAACGTGTTCCTACCCTGTTCTCTCTGCCCTGGGCCCCAAATTGCCTGAGAAATCTGCTTCCCCTCCTGTCCACACAGGTGCCCAGTGGGCTGCTGAGTGAGCCGGAGCCTCTTGGAAGCGTGTGGTGCTGCCCCCTGGCTGCTCACCCACCGCGTGGGCTCTGGTCCCCCTGGGGACCAACCTTTCTCCTGCTCTGTGCAGCCCCGCAGCAGGCAGGGCCCGAGGCTGCTGTGACTCCGGGCCGGGACGCTGGGCAGGGGCTGTGCAGATGCAGTCCTGGAGATGGGCAGGCAGGGATGGGGCAGGGGTCAAGGTGAAGAACCACGCCAAGGATCTGGTTCAGTCAGCCCATGAGACCCCAGGACCAGTCAATGGGTGTGGCCCTTCTAGGGAGCCCAAGCCCTAGCAGACGCCTGGGGCTGGGGCTGAGGGGCTGGGCCAGGGCAGCGGGAAGCCTGACAGGGGTCAGTACCAGGAGTCCGGGTCACTCTCCCTAAAGCCCTTGGCGAAAGGGTTGCTGGCGATTTTCAGCTGCGTGATCTGCAGAGAAGAGAGTGAAGTTATGGGTCAGCCCCGACCTGGGGAAAGGCTGTGGGGCCCCAGGCTCACCCATCCTTACCTCCCTGGACCCCCCAGTCAGGAGGCCCCGGGACCGGGAACCACCGCGGGTGTGAAGGGAGGGGAATGACCGGGCAGATGCTCGCTGAGGCCCCGGAAGGAGAGAAGGGCTGGGGTCTGTGTGCATGGGGCAGCTAAGACTTGAGCCTCAGTCTCCATCCCTGTGAAATGGGCTGGCAGGTGCCCCATGAGCTGTGGCCCAACCCACCCGGTGGTTCTGATATGCTGTCACGGCCGTGAACTGGGTCTCCGTGAACACGAAGGACTTGAAGTTCTCCTGGGCGTAGCGCTCGCTGTCCTTGCGTGGGTCCACGAAGACCACGTGGAAGCGGGGCTGGTAGCGGTGCATGGAGTTGAGAATGATCTGTGGGGGGACAGCAGCAAGCTGGCACTGAGGCTGCACGCTGTCCCCGGGCAGGGAATGCCCTGGGCCTGCTGCCACCTTGCTGGTGCGGGTGGTACAGGCCCCCTTAGGTTGGAGCATCCTTGCTGCTTTGCTTTCTTTCACACCCACATCTCGGCTGCCCACCTTGCCTTCAGAACTGTCCACTACCTGATCGCCTCTCCCACCCCAGGGCCTCCACCCCATCTGGCCTCCATCATCTCACCTGGGTCTCCTCAGCTGCCTCCTGGCGGGTCTCCCTGCCTCCACCTGGCCCCTCCGTTCGTTCTCCACACAGCAACCCCAGTGAGCCATCGCATGCCACCCCCTCCTCAACACTCCCCTGTGGCTCCCGCCCCACCCAGAGTAAAAGCCAGAATCCTCTCTGCAGCCACCTGATGAGCAGATGAGCCTGGCCTAGAGCCTCTCCCCACCCCTCCCCCTCCTCGCTCCAATCCAGCCACGTGGCAGCGTCCATCCGTCCATCCGTGCAGTCCCCCAGCTCCCCCCCACATTTCTCCGTGCCTCCGCCCACCTGAACAGCTCCCCTTCTAGATGCACGGGCTCCCTCCTGTCCTTCCCATCCTGCCCACATTCTCTGCAGCAACTTCCTGGTCCCGAGGGAGCAGCCGCCCCCAGCCCCGAACGTTCCTGGGTCCTTTTTGCTCCTGGCTTCATCACCCCCTGAGACATCGAGACCAGTGTTTCCTGGACTTTTGCTCACCATCGGCCCTGCCCCCAGGAGGTGAGCCCTGGGGGGCACGGTCTCTGATTGAGAGTGTCAGCCGTCCTGTGTGACCCACAATGGGCCTGCTCCGTGTGGGTGGTCCATACACTGCCCATGAGAGGGACAGTGTTTGCTGGAACATTCCCACTCCCCCCGCCCCCCCGGCCCCCGTGCCTGCACAGTCCCCTCTGCCGCCCAACCGCAGCAGGTGAGCTCGGCGCCCCAGCGGTGGCCAGCAGCAGTGGGTGGGGATGCTGGGCAGCAAGGCCATGGGCACCAAAGGCCCAGCCAGGCCTGGCTCCCGACTTCGTCCCCATCAGGCCCCTGACTAGGCCCGGGCCCTCCCCCGTGGCCGGGGCCTCACGTGGCCGTTGTCGTCCAGCAGGTTGTTGGTCAGCTTGAGCTTGTCAAAGGACACAATCTGGCGCATCCACTGCGCGCCCTTGGCCGGTGAGTCGGGGTGGAAGTGCACACGGCCGGGCGTGGCCGGGTCCGCCTTGCCGGCCACCAGCCAGGCCGAGCTGTGGAAGGCGTACCTGGGGAGCAGAGCGGGGGTGAGGGTGCCCGTCTGCATCACACACACCCTCACCTGCTGCCCCTGCCTGGAGCCAAGTCTGGCGGGCAAAGGGGCTGTGAGCGCCCACGCACCAGCCCATCTTGCACACAAGGAACCAGAGGCTCTGAGAGAGTTCTGTGGTCCCACCCGCTGCCCTGGGTTAGCCCACGCTGCCTGTCCAGGCTGCCCACTGCCCACCGTCAGCTGCCTGGGCTGGTGCCCCTGCCACCAGACTCCCCAGTGTTGCCCCCGGATAGGCCTCCCTGGTGCTGCTTCATTGGCCCCTGCCTCCCCGGAGTGCAGCGAGGGGCCGACTCCCCATCTCAGCACCGGAGGACTGAGCCCCTTCCCCGGTGGCCCCCACACCTGTATCTCTTGTCATCCAGGGGCACGAAGTCCATGAGCAGGGCGTAGTCAGCCAGCGAGTCCATGCCCAGGATCTTCACCTGGAAGGTGGGGAACATCCTCCTGCCGGAGGGAGGTGCCCAGCAGCCTGAGTGCGGCCCCAGCCTGGCCCGGCCGCACCCACAGGCACACCGCCCCTGCCGCTCACACCTGCCTGCCTTGGTGACGATCATCTCTGTGCCCAGCTGGTGGAACTCCTCCCACAGAGTCTTCATCTCCAGCTGGACCGTCACGCTGGACACGTGCGGGTTCTTGGGGCCCTGCCTGGCGGGCTCACCCATGGCTTGGGCCCCTGTGGAGCCAGTGGAAAGGCCTGATGGGAACGGAGAAACCAGCCGGGGCTCCCAGCTGGAGCTGCTCATGGGCAGGGGGTAGGTCTCGGAGGCTGCAAGTACCCCAAGGCCTGCGGAGAGGAAGGCTGGGGAGAGAGGACAGAAGCATGGGCCCTGCTCGCCCCCACTCCACCCAGCTAGCCCTCCGCCTCCAGGCTGCATCTAGGTGCCTCTTTCTCCAGGAAGTCCTCCCTGACTGCCAGGTCTGTGTGTTCCCACAGTTAACGTGACTCAGCATCACCTTGTAAGGTAAATGCTCACTTATCGATCAGACCGTCAAACCTCAGAGGGAAGGTAGGGAGGGTGGGGGTAAGGGGGAGAGATCAACCAAAGGACTTGTATGCATGCATATAAGCCTAACCCATGGGCACAGACACCAGGGGGTGAGGGCATGAGCTGGGGGGTGAGGGGACAAAGGGGATAAGGACACATATGTAATATCTTAATCAATAAAGAAAATTAAAATAAATAAATGAAAAGCTCCCGGAGGCCGGAGACCAGGCCTGGCTGGCTCCCCAGGGGATCTCGGAGCTGTCAGGTGGCCGCGAGCAAATGGTTTCACTTCCCTGAGCCTCAGTTTCCACATTCATCACCAGGGCTTCGTAGAACCTGCTTCCTAGGGCTGATGTGAGGATCTGTGAGGACCCCTGCAGGGCCTGGCACACAGGAAGCCCTTCACACATGACACATAATATAGATAATGGGACACCTGAGATTGGGGTGCTTGGGGTGGGGTCTGTCTCAGCTCCATGGAGACCCCACTGCCTTGTCCCCTGAAGAAGAGCTGCACTGAGAGGAGATCCCCCACATTACCACGAATTGCTCTTGCCGTCTCTGACCTGGAAAACCCGCCCGAATCCTGCCTCCGGGAGCCATCTTTCTGCTCTGGCCTCCTCACTTTTTTTTCTCAAGATCCTGCCTTTTGATCTGCCATCCTGGCACAAGCCTTGGCCAAAAGCTTTGTTGTGGGGAGCCGGCACGGCCATGGCATACTCATGCCAGCTCAGCCCGGTTCAGTGACCCTGAGTGGGGGCGATGAAAGGCTTAGAAAAGACAGACAAGAGAATGAGCTGGGTCTCGGTGGGACGCTGCTCCTCTGATGGAGAGACAGGCCAACGCCCACAAGCCGTGTCTTTATTTTATAGCAGATGCACGAGGCAAAGTCAGGGCGTGACCAAGATGTTTACAACATTCTCGTGGGTTTCAGTCCCACTCAGCTACATGCACCTGAACTCTGTCACTCAGGCGCGTGGGGCCACGTGTTCGGACCACAGGTTCAAGCTTACAACTCCAGCTGTTGGCTATCATTGTGCTGGGCGGGCTCTGCCCTCCAGCTGTGACTTGCACGTGGCCACGAGAGGACTGTGCCTTCTCCTCAGTCCAAGGCTTGACCCTGTCCAAACACCGTAGCGGCTCCCCACACTTTGTCCCCCTCCACCCTTCTGGTTAAAAAAAAAATCCTAACTACAAGGAGATACTGCTTTACACCGCGAGGACGGTGATTCTCAAAACAATAACAACACAGAAAATGATGGGCTGGTGAGGAGGTGGAGCAACTGGAACCCTGTGCACGGCTGGGCGGCCTGTAAAACGGTGCGGTCGCTGTGGGAAACAGAATGGTGGTCCCCAAAAACTAGACTTAGGGTTACCACGCCATGCAACAAGCTAGGCATAGACCCCACAGAGCTGGGCAGCGACCCGAACGCGTAGCTGTACATCTGTGCTCACGGGAGAGTGCTCACAATAGGAGTGGTGGGAGCAACGCAGGTGCCCATGAATGGATAAGCAAAGTGTGGTCTGTCCAGACATGACTCACTGCCCTTCAGCCCTACAAAGACGGAAATTCTGCCCGGCCGGCGTGGCGCAGGGGTTGAGGGTGGACCTATGAACCAGGAGGTCACGGTTTGATTCCCAGGCCGGGCACCTGCCTGGGTGGCAGGCCCGATGCCCAGTGTGGGGCGTGTGGGAGGCAGCTGATGGATGATTCTCTCTCATCACTGATGTTTCTATCTCTTTCTCTCTCCCATCCTCTCTGAAATAAATAGATAGATAGATAGATATTTTAAAGAAGAAGGAAATTCAGGACATATGCTGAGTGACATAAGCCAGACAGAAGGACAAATACTGTACGATTCCACTTACAGGAAGTCCCTAGAGCTGTCAAATTCGTAAACAGAAAGTAGGGCGGTGGGTGCCAGGAGCTGGGGGAGGGGAGGGGAAGTTCGTGTTTAAAGGGGACAGCGTTTCAGTGTTACAAGATGCAAAGCGTCCCGGAGCTGATGGTGGTGACGGCGGCACAGCAGCGTGAATGTGCGTCATGCCCCTAAACTGTGCATTTTAAAATGGTAAATTTAATGTTATGTACATTTTACACAATTAAACATTTTAAAATAGAAAAAAAATCCTGAAACACAAGTGATTAGTTACTAGCAGCCCCAGGAGAAGCTGGGGATCTGGTAACACCATGGGACCCCCTGGGCAGAGGTAGAATATCGGTGTCAGATGGATGGACAGACAGACAAATAGGTGGGTGGAGGGAGCGTCTAAAGAGCCAAACTGGCCAGAGCTGGCACTGAGGCAGCGCCTGGTAAGAGTGGGGGCCCGGGACCACATTGGAGAAGGGGCATCTTGCTAAAGCCCCCGGTATTCCTGGGGGCTGGGGGTGGGGTGGGATGTCTGGTCTGCATACCCCAGTGGGCGTGACGGGTGGATAGACAGATGGCCCCACCATCTGGGACCAGGCCGTCAGGTGGGCAGCTGCAGGAATGACATCCAGGTATGATGCCAGCCCCTAGCGTCCATGGTGGTGGGTCCCAAGGGTAGAAGCTCATGGCTTTGCTGGGCCCCAGGGCTTCCCAGGCTGGTCACTGGCTCCCAAGTCTTCTCTGAGCCCCCTGCCCATCCCAGCCAATGCCCTGCCCTTCAGTGCCCTCAAAAACCAGGGGAGGGGGGAGTGCTGTCCTCGGCCCAGTTCCCCTAAAACCAGCACTGCTCAGGTCGGGAGATGCCCATTTCCACAGGCATCGAGTCCGTCTAGGGAGAAAGTTAGGTGCTTCTTGTCTAGCCCTCGCCTTGATGCTCAAGGGGTGAGGCCCAGAGAGGGGAGGGGACAGGCCCAAGGTCACCCATGCCTGATAAGGCGTTCACCTCCAGAAGCAGCTCTGTCCCCTGCCTGTCGGCACCCCATAACTGCACCTGGATGGCTGGGAGTCCACCAGCCCCGCCCTGACAGCCTGGGTGCCCTGCCTCACCCTCTTGCCTGGGCCTGGGTCCAGCGGGGTTTCCCTGCTCTGCCCCACTCACTCCGGAGCCTGTACCCACACTGTACCTGCCATGCGGACGGCCGGATGTCCAGGAGCAGCCCTGCTCAGTCTGGGCGCTGCCGGCGGGGGGCGGGGTGGGGCGGGGGTGGTCAGCCACTCCTGGACTCCTGGTTCATTCACGCACAGCCCGGCTCTCAGGTGCTCACTCCGTCCTCGGTCTCCTGGTAGGACTGTCCTTCCCTCCTCAGTGGCCGGGTCTTGGTTTTACACCTGGTCTCTGCGGTGGGACCTGGCTGTGGGCTGTCAGGCCCCTTTCTCCACGCCACCTCACGCTGCTCCGTCTGAGGCCGCTGCCAGGCTGGTCCTGCCCTGGGCGGCGCGTGTGGGAGGAGGGCAGGTGGGGAGGCTCTGACGTGGCAGAGCCTCCCTCTCCCCCTACCGGCCCCCCTCCTGGCTCCCTCTCTTCCCCGGCTGGGAGCCCCCAGCCATTCCCGATCAATGGCCCAGGCACAGGGTGGGGGCCTATCTTGAGGACGAGCTGGGTGGTCCGCAGGGGCCCAGGCCTGGCTGACTGGAGGGCTGGGGCCGATGGGGCCTCGGGGAGGTTGGAGGCCAGGGCAGTGGCAGTAGCAGCAGGGGCTGCATGGCAGGGGCAGGGGCCTCTCACCAGGACCCAGACCCCTGGCCTGGGGCTGCTGGGGTGGAGTCATGGGGCAGCTGGAGCAGGAAACCCAGGGGGCGGCAGGAGCAAGTGCCGCAGAGACAGCCCTGCTTGGGCGGGAGGGAGCCTGGTGCTCCCCATGGTTTGGCCCAATGAGCTGTGCTACACTGGCAGGTCCCTGACAACCCTGTGCCTCGGTTTCCCCAACTGAACTAGGTGCATAATCTCTTCTGCCTGGGATGGCGGTAAGCCGGCCCCGCCCTGGCTGAGGATGGGAGGCTGGCCCAGGGCGAGGCCATGGGGTTGGTGTCTGCGCTGTCCACGGTCTGTCTATTCTCTCCAGCCAGACCAGGTACCGTCTCCAGGCTGCCCCCTGCTGGGCATTCAGGAGACACAGAACCACTGGCCAGGAAGGCAGAGGGTGTGGGGTCCCCCGAAGCTGGCTGCTCTCAGTTGAGAGTGCTTTTTGGCCATTTGGTCTTTTCCACAGGGCCCAGGAAGGGGCACCGGACTGGACCCCAGGTTAGCCCACTGGGAGGGAGCGTCCCAGGCTAACCCCCAGGCCAGAGCACCCCAGGCTGGGCTGGGCATGCTCCACCCAGGCCAGCTCGTCCCAGCCCCACCCCACTCCTCCTTCAGAGTTTGGCACTGGGGTTGGCAGAGGCCCATACCTGAGGGGCCAGCAGTGGGAGGGGCTGCTCCTCCCAGAGCCTTGAGCCGCAGGCCCACCTCTCCTCCCTCAGCTCAGGCACCCCTGCTGCTCAGTCCCTAGGTCCCCATGCCTGCCTGCCGAGCCCTGAGGGGTCCTGCAGGGAGAGGGTGGGCCGGCCCTGGCACACACCCATGCCCAGCCCTGGGGGAAGGCTGCGCTGGCTCTGGGGTTTGCTGCTGGGCAAGATGGGTGGGAGTTCTCTGTGCTTGTGATGGAGGGTCCCAGCGGCACCCAGGGGCCACCCTGAGGTAGGGCCATGCCACCCTGACACAGGATCCACAGTGGGTGGATTGGAAGGTGGGACTGATGATGGAGGGACCTGGTAGCTCGGCCCGGACCTGAGGCGGGCCAGCCTGGGGTTCTGTTGGCCCGTGTGTGTGTGTGTGTGTGTGTGTGTGTGTGTGTGCGCGCGCGTGCTTGTACACACCTTGGTCTGTGTATTGGGAAACACCCCCACATGTGAACATGACCACACTGACATGCCAACCCATATCACACACGTGCACACAGATACCAACCTGCCACCACCCGGGTTCACACGTGCACGAGCTCCTATGTGCACAGACACACGCTCACACACCCGTCCCCCATGCACACACACCAGGCACACACGCACTCCTCCCTGCACAGCCCCTCCCGGCTGGCCAGCCCTTCCTGCCGGAGGCACCTCCTGGCCCCCTGCCCCCTCATCCATCTTGCCTGCCAGCCTGTCCCTGGCGTCCCCGTATCCTTCACACCTTCTCATCTCGCTGCTCAATAGCAGGAGGTGGCGTGGCAGCTGTGGCCGCGGGGAGATGGATGGGCCAGGCGGGGTGTGGAGGGGCCAGGGAGGATGCCTCGAGAGCACGGAGCTCAGGCCCTACCAGCCCCACTGTCAGCAGGAGCCATGCCCTGCCGGCTCAGGCGGGTGTGGGCTCTGTGGGGCTGCGCTCAGGGCCGTCCACCCTCCCCGTTCTGCCTGCCATGGACAGTGTGGCCAGGACCCAGGGACCCCAGCGGTAGCCCCTGGGCACACTCCTGCCCCTGTGTGCCTGCACCTGGACCTGCGGGCCTGGGTGGAGAGAGCTCTGTCGAGCTGCACGCCTTCCCCAGCCCTGACTCCCCTGAGCTCCCATGAGCTCATGACACACCTGGAAACGCGCGTGGGGCTGTGTGCCCATCACATGCAGATCCTCCCAGAACAGCCAAGGCACTGGTTCTCGGAAACACGTGCACACACAGCACCTGGGGAGGGCATACACATGGGCACCCACACACGTGGCCACACACTTCTGCTCTCCTAGCCGACCCTCTGGCCCCAGGAGTGTAGGAAGTTGGGGACCCTCCTCTGGTCATGGCCTCCGGAAGCCCTTCTGCTGGTTCGAGGACAGTCTTTCTCAGTTTCCCTCACAGTATAGGATCTTCCCTGGACAAGCATGGGCACAGAGACAGCTACCACTGGCCCCAGGACACACAGCATGTCCAAGGCCACACGGGGCCAGACTTGCCCCAGATCCTGAGGCCACAGACAGGCACCACACAGATGGAGGACACAAACCATGGACCCCTGGACATCTTCCACTTTATAGAATGGGAAACTGAGGCAGGGAGGTGGGGGAGGGTGGCAAGGGGACCTCTGAGCTTGGGATCATGCCTCAGGTGGGAGGCTGAGGCCGGGCAGGTGTGGCCTGGGTTAGGGAGCTGGGGAGGGGGCGGGGGCCAGCCCGGGCAGGGCAGGCACAGAGAACGTGAGCTTCTCCGTCTGGAAGAAGGCAATGCCCTTCTCGTAGTAGGCGGCCTCATTGATGAACACGGGGTACACAGTGGACTCCCCTTCATAGAGCACGTCCTTGCCGCCGAACATCTGGAAGATGGGTGCTCCAGGCCGCAGGGGCTCGAAGTCTCGGTCCTGGGAGGACAGCCAAGGGCCAAGGGTGCTGGGGCTGACCTCTGCCCTGGCCCCAGTGGGGGTGACCCCAGCAGGGACTGTCCAAGAGACGCCCCTCCCTTAGGGCCTCACTCACTCACTCCTTCACTGCCTTCATCAATATGACAGGGCGTCTACCGAGATGCCAGCTGGCCCTGTGTCTAGAAATGGAGACACCAGTCACCTTAGAAGACGTTTGTCCTTGCGGAAGTGTAGTCTAGTGGTTACAGGCACAGATAGTAAAGCCTCGGTGCAAAATCTTGCTGGCTGTGTGACCTGGAGCAAGTCACTTAACCTCTCTGTTCTCAGCCTCCTCAGCTTTAAAACGGGGATTATACTCTCTCCTCCTATCACCCTGAGGTTTAAATTAAATGGCTAAGAACGCTTATGTTTGCATCTAGTTTATTAAATGAAAGTTGTGGAAGAAATCAATCAAAATGACTGTTACTGCTTAGCATGGAAGATGGGCAGGCAGCTTCAGGGCCTGTAGCCCTAAACACTGAAAGGATGGAGCCCCTCCCACAACACTGTTACAGGATAGCGCCTCAAAATGAAACGTGCAGCTGGCTCCCAACAAAGAAGTCCAACCAAGTTCTGATTCTTCCTACCATTGTTACCTCGGTCCTTCAGAGTATGTTTGAAATATCAAATTCTTCCCACTACGTCTCTCTCTGTCATGCCCACGCCCTGCCAAGCTCTCAGTGTGTGCCAGGTCTGTGTGCTGGGTCGCTCCCATGTTGTGGGACGGACAGGGCTGACCGAGGGAGGTGCGGCCCCGGAGACAGACACCCATCCCTGCAGAGATTCAGAATGACTGGGTCACCTCTGATACTGGAGGGGTCCCCCACCTGGTTCCACTGGCAGGAGAGGACCCTGCTGGCCCACAAGGACTCATCACGGAAGAGGGGCTCTGGCTGGTCACTGGGCTCAGCGCTGAGCTTTGGGGTGGAGTGAGGAGCCGGTGGCCCCTCTGATGCCCCTCTCCCGCCTGAAGGCCAGATGGGGGGTTGGGGAACACTTACTAATGAGGCTAGGGCTCAGGCGCCCATCTTGGGCACCCCTGCCGCCTGGGCACTGCAGAAAGCAAAGGCCACGGAGGGTGTGGGCCTTGCTCCACAGCGACGCCCGGTGGCAGCAAGGAGAAAGGCAGCTGGTTGGCTGCCCTTGCCTACCTTCTTCCTGCCAGATTATAGCAGCAGGAGCCCCTAGTCCAGCGGTTCTCAACCTGTGGGTCGCCAACCTGTGGGTCGCGACCCCTTTGGGGATCGAAAGACCCTTTCACAGGGGTCGCCTAAGGCCATCGGAAAACACATATATAAACAGTGGTTCTCAACCTTCCTAATGCCGCGACCCTTTAATGCAGTTCCTCATGTTGTGGTGACCCCCAACCATAAAATTATTTTCGTTGCTACTTCATAACTGTAATGTTGCTACTGTTATGAATCGTAATGTAAATATCTGATATGCAGGATGTATTTTCATTGTTACAAATTGAACATAATTAAAGCATAGTGATTAATCACAAAAACAATATGTAAGTATATATGTGTTTTCCAATGGTCTTAGGTGACCCCTGTGAAAGGGTCGTTCGACCCCCAAAGGGGTCGCGACCCCCAGGTTGGCGACCCACAGGTTGAGAACCGCTGCCCTAGTCCCTGGAACATTCAGGAAGGGGAAGTCTGGAGAGGGAGATGCTGGATTCCTGCTAACTCGCATAGGGATGCTTGAGGAATTAACTGGAAAACAGAGGGCTCTGCATTTGCACCTGCAAGCAGGGTCAGGCCTGCCCCACCCCCTCCCTCCCTCGGCCTCTCTGCAGCCAGGAGAGGTGTGTCCAGGCTGTTGTGGAGCCCCAGGTGCCCCCACAGGCTCTATGAGCATCACTGTGGCCCAGAGACCCAGGCCCGTGCAGGGTTCCTGCAGAGGCAGAATGGGTGGGCATGGGCGCCCGGGCTACTGCCCCTGCTCTGCATTCGGGGTGCTGGTGACTCCATGGGAGGCACTGTGGTCCCTGCCTCTGTGCTCGTTTCTTTCTTTCTTTTAATATTTTATTGATTTTTTACAGAGAGGAAGGGAGAGAGATAGAGAATTAGAAACGTCAATCAGCTGCCTCCTGCACACCCCCTACTGGGGATGTGCCCGCAACCAAGGTTCATGCCCTTGACCGGAATCGAACCTGGGACCTTTCAGTCTGCAGGCCAACGCCCCATCCACTGAGCCAAACCAGTTACCGCTGTGCTCATTTTCTCATGCCTCCCAAAGCTGTGACCTAGGAGCTCCAGCCCACAACACACACACACACACACACACACACACATGCACACGCACGCACCTGCAGCTGAGGATGCACGGTGCCTGCCAGGTCCCCGGTCTCCGTGCGTGGGAAGTCCACGCTGCTCACTTTTCTATACGCTTCCATCTCAAAGGCAGGAAATGCGGTGCCTGTGTGGGAGGCTTGGTGCCTGAGCCCGTCCCTCCCTCCAGGCCCTGGCGGAGTGGGCCATGGGGGCCACTCAGGCTGGCTCCCAGCCCACCCCAGAGCCTGGCTCCTCGGCCCCTGGGCCAGGCCCTCTCCTCTCAGGGCCTCAGTTGCCCGGGAGTCCTGGGGTCTCACCCTGGTTGAAGAGCTGGATGAAGTCCAGGGCTGCGGCCACCAAGGCCCTCATCCTGGCGAGAAGGTCAGCCCGCAGCACCCCCTGAGGCTGGGGGCCCAGCTCCAGGCCTGGGGACCCAGAGGGAAGGGGTCAGGCAGGTACTCCAGAGACTTGGGCCCTCTGGACCCCTAGACCCTGACACCGCCCACCATCTGGCCCCGCCCTTCCCAGCCCCTGAGCACTTCGACCATCTGGGCCCACCCAGTCCACTCTTGGCCACGGAGTGGACGCTGTAGCTCTCTTCTCCAGGCAACTGGTACAGGAAGACCCGGCAGGGCAGCTCTGGGCTCTGCAGCTGTGAGCGGAGGGTGAATCAGGGCCCAGGCCTATCTGGGCGGGGAAACTGAGTCGAGGGGGGAGCATGGAGGAAGCACAGAGCAGCGGTGGGGGGGGGGGGCGGGGGGAGGTCCAGAGGGTGGCGGGGCCCTGGCACTGGAGCCCAGGAAGCACCCTCCTCCCACCCCGTCCCCAGCGGAGGAGGCGCCAGCCCCGTGGTGCTCTCCTCCCCACCCTCCCGTCTGCACGCTGCGGGCACAGGGCCACCTGTAGGTGGTGGCACAGGTGCATCGCAAAGACGTCGTGGGAGGATTCGGCGACGAGGCAGGTGCCCATGCTGGCCGTGGTGTTGTGCAGGTCCAGGACGAAGTCAAAGGCCTGGCCCGAGGCCTTGGGTCCCAGCAGTTGGTTCAGCTCTCGGGCCCTTGTCACCTCATATGGGTCATCCGGGTGGGCCCTGGCCCTGCAGGGGCAGGGATGGGGGTATCACCACCCACAGTCTCAATCATCAGAGGTGTAATGAGAGGAGGGGAGGGAGCCTCCTGTGCTGACAGAGTGAACCCCTGAGACCCTGCAGGAGCGACAGAGCAGCTCAAGGGCTCATCCTGAGCGTGCCTGCCCCTCTCAGGGCTCTTGTTGGCTCCCCACTGCCCCCATAAGGTTCAAACCCTTGGCCTGGCCTGGCCCACCTGCCTCGTCGGCTCTCACTCCAGCCACACTTCCAGCTGGTCTCACTGCTAGGCCTGTGCACCTGCTGGGCCCTTCCTGGAAACACCTTTTCTCCTCTCTTCACCTGGTTAACATGGACTCACCCTTCAGTGCTTGGCTGAGATCCCACCTCTTCCAGGAAGCCTTCTCTGACTACCTTTGGTCAGGTTTCTATAGCCCCTCCTCCCCCTGCATGTAGCCTCCTGGGTTGTGGTTATGGGTTCTTCCTCTGTCTCCCCAGTAAGCTGAGAACAACACCCCATTTCACTCCCCATTCTCTCACCTGAGCTGGCCAGAGCCTGGCTCACAGGTGGGGCTCAGCGAATGTCCATTAAAGAAAGTAAAGTAAATGCAGCCTGTGGGGCTGATCTGAGGCAAGCCCTGGGTAGGGGGAGTCCCGAGGAGGCCCTGACCCAGCCTGAGGTCAGGAAGGCTTCCTGGAGGAGGTGTGTCTAAGCTGAAAAGGAAGAATAGGCATCGAAAGCAGAGGGTGTGCCCTGCTAGTGGCTGGAGGATGAGTTTGAGGTGAGGATCTCCGTGCCAGTCCAAGGGCCTGGGCCACCTGGCGGGCTGGGGCCCCACAGCCACCAGGACACTCACGTGAGGAAGGCGCTGGTGAAGGCGCGGTTGAGGTCACAGTCCACGTAGCGGCGGCAGGCGGCTGTGGCCGCTGGGTTGGCCAGCACGGGCACTGCGGAGAAGCTGGGTCTCTGCAGCTCCCCCGGGGCCCGCAGCCAGTACCGCGCCAGGCAGACGCCAGACATCTCATTGCCGTGGGTGCCCCCGACCACTGCCACACGGCGCAGGGGCTCTGGAGGCTCAGGCCGCGAGCACATCCCGTGTGGGTGGAGGGCCCGGTGCTGAGCTGCGGTGGGGTGGGTGGTGAGCTCCCTGAGGTGTGACGGGTCCCAGAGTCCCAGCCAGGCAGCTCGGCTGTCTGTCAAAAGATGTGACTGAGGGCAGCTGGGCGGAGTGGCACTGCCCCTCCACCTCCACTGACCGCTCAAGGCCTCTCCCTCCCGGTGCCCGAGCCCGGAGCTCCTTTCCTGGAGGGTCAGCACCACCCTTCCCTCCCTTTAACAAGGAGCTTCTTTCATTGTTGCTGTTGATCCTCACCTGAGGACTTTTCCCATTGATTTTTAGAGAGAGTGGGAGGGAGGGAGGGGAGAGAGAGAAAAAAAAAATTGATGTGAGAGAAATACATCGATTGATTGCCTCCTGCAAGCACCCTGACAGCAGCCAAGGAATTAACCTGCAACCCAGGCATGTGCCCTTGACCTGGAATCGAATCCGCAACCTTTCAGTGCACAGACCAGTGCTCACCACTGAGCCACACCAGCCAGGGCAACAAGGAGCTTCTTTCTCCTAATGCAGTGGTTCTCAACCTTCCTAATGCCGCGACCCCTTAATACAGTTCCTCATGTTGCGGTGACCCCCCAATTTCATTGTTACAAATTGAACATAATTAAAGCATAGTGATTAAACACAAAACAATACGTAATTATATATGTGTTTTCTGATGGTCTTTTTTTTAAAATAATTAAACCTTTATTGTTCAGATTATTACAGTTGTTCCTCTTTTTCCCCCCCATAGCTCCCCTCCACCTGGTTCCCGCCCCACCCTCTGCCCTTACCCCCCCGCCCCGTCCTCATCCATAGGTGTACAATTTTTGTCCAGTCTCTTCCCGCACCCCCACACCCCATTTCCCCGCCCCCCAGAATAGTCAGTCCATTCCCTTTCTGTCCCTGAGTCTATTATGATCACCAGTTTATTCTGTTCATCAGATTATTTATTCACTTGATTTTTAGATTCACTTGTTGATAGATGCGTATTTGTTGTTCATAATTTGTATCTTTACCTTTTTCTTCTTCCTCACCTGAGGACTTTTCAGCATTTCATATAATACTGGTTTGGTGGTGATGAACTCCTTTAGCTTTTTCTTATCTGTAAAGCTCTTTATCTGACCTTCAATTGTGAATGATAGCTTTGCTGGGTAAAATAATCTTGGTTGTAGGTTCTTGCTTTTCATCACTTTGAATATTTCTTGCCACTCCCTTCTGGCCTGCAAAGTTTCTGTTGAGAAATCAGCTGACAGTCGTATGGGTACTCCCTTGTAGGTAACTGACTGTCTTTCTCTTGCTGCTTTTAAGATTCTCTCTTTGTCTTTTGCTCTTGGCATTTTAACTATGATGTGTCTTGGTGTGGTCCTCTTTGGATTCCTTTTGTTTGGGGTTCTCTGTGCTTCCTGGACTTGTAAGTCTATTTCTTTCACCAGGTAGGGGAAGTTTTCTGTCATTATTTCTTCAAATAGGTTTCAATATCTTGTTCTCTCTCTTTTTCTGGAACCCCCATAATTCGGATGTTGGTACGCTTGAAGTTGTCCCAGAGGCTCCTTACACTATCTTCATATTTTTGGATTCTTTTTTCTTTTTGTTTTTCTAGTTGGGTGTTTTTTGCTTCTTCATATTTCAAATCTTTGACTTGATTCTTGCAACCCTCTGGTCTGCTGTTGGGAGTCTATATAATATTCTTTATTTCAGTCAGTGTATGCTTAATTTCTAGTTGGTTCTTTTTCATAACCTCGAGGGTCTCACTAGATTTCTTGAGGGTCTCACTAAATTTATCGGCGGTTTCTAGAAAATTCTTGAAAAACCTTATAAGTGTAGTTTTGAACTCTATATCCTGTAGTTTGCTTTCCTCCATTTCTGTCATTTGTGACCTGTTTCTTTGTCTCCACATTTTTTATGCTTCCCTGTGTTGACAGAGTGGCTTTCTGTGCTAGGTGTCCTATAGGGCCCAGTGGCTCAGCCTCCCCAATTACCTGAGGTGGACACTCTTGGTGCGCCCCTTTGTGGGCTTTGTGCACAATCTTGTTGTAGTTAAGCCAGGGGTCCTCAAACTACGGCCTGCAGGCCACATGCAAATACAAATATTGTATTTGTTCCCATTTTGTTTTTTTACTTCAAAATAAGATATGTGCAGTGTGCATAGGAATTTGTTCATAGTTTCTTTTTAACTATAGTCCAGCCCTCCAACGGTCTGAGGGACAGTGAACTGGCCCCCTGTTTAAAAAGTTTGAGGACCCCTGAGTTAAGCCTTGATTGTTGTAGGTATCACTGGGAGGAATTGACCTCCAGGCCAATTGGCTGTGAGAATCAGCTGTGTCTACAGTGGGAGAACTTCTGTGCTGGAGACACCCTTCTGGGGCAAGACTTGCTTCAGTGGAGCTTTGGTGCTCACTGAGTCTGCCCCCTGAGTGTGTCCCTTATGGATCTGAGGAGTTGTAATCTGGATGGTCTCACTCTGACCACTGGGTACACTGGCTCTTGGATCTCTAAGGAGGTGCTAATTTAGCCTCTGCCTGAGGCTACCCAGCAGGAGCTATGGAGAGATCTGCAGATTTCTCTTCTTTGTTTGTGGTTTGGAGGTGGCTAGATGAGGCCCAGCTGTGAAGCAATGCAAGCTGCTGTGGGGCCTTGGGCCTTCTTTTGGAAGTTCTGGTTCTCTCTGACCCAGCTGCAGTTTGTTAGGTAATTTTCAGATTGCAAAGGGCCCGGCCTTTCATATGCAAAAGCCTCTGTGCACAGCTTGGGTGGGGCGGGGTCTCAGGGAATCAACAGGGTGGAGCAAGCAGCTATGGCTGCTCCCCAGTCCTACCCTAAGAGGCCCCTGGTCTCAGTGTCCCGGTAATGCTGCAGGCACCTCTGAGAGAAAGCCGCCCTCGAGTTTCGACCGATGCCAGACAGTCCAGTTTCTCCCCGTATGAGTCTGGGTCCCCAGAGACTAGCCTGGAACTGGAGTTCAGAGCAGTCAGGAGCTTGAGACTCCCTCCTGATTGAAAAAGACAGCTGTGTCCTCAGTTGCCAGCCCTTTCTACCACGCCTCCGTACCTCCACAGTTTACTTCCGCACCTCCTCTTAGTCTCAGTGTGCTTTTCTCTTTCCTTCTAGTTGTAGAATTTTCACTCAGCCAGCCTTCCTGTGGTTCTGGATGATGTCTGTTTTGTCTTTTAGTTGTATTTTTGAAGTGGTTGTGCGAGGCAGCAATCTCTGGTGTTTACCTATGCGGCCACCCTGGTTTCTCTTTCCCGATGGTCTTAAGCGACCCCTGTGAAAGGGTCGTTCGACCCCAAAAGGGGTCGCGACCCACAGGTTGAGAACCACTGTCCTAAAGTGAGATGAGGGGTCCAGACCTTCATGAGGGTGTGCTTGTAGAAAGGGGTAATGCTCCGGTGTTATATAGGGGAGACTGGGACACAGCCGGGGGGAGCACGCCCCATGCGTCAGCTGTGTGTTGGCTCCCTGCCGGGGTGTCCAGCTTCCTGTTCCTCCAGGGCTGGGGTGTGCCCCATGCAGAGCAGTGGGTATTTATGAGCCCGGAGATCCCCGGGCAGGAAGTGTTGGTGACAAGTTGGCAGAGGGCTGGGGAGGGTGGTGCTGGCTGAGGTTCAGCCAGAGGGCAGGAGAGCTGGGGTCTCCCCACCCAGCTCTACCCCCACTGCTGCCGACCGCTGCCGCAGTCCAGTCCACTGAGTTCAGGTCCTGCAGCTGGGCCGGTGCTTTGGCCAGAACCAGGCAGGCTCCCTGTAGGCAGCTGCACGCGGCCTTGGAAAATCACCAGCAGGGACACAAGGCCTGGGATGAACATGAATCCCGAGGAGGGCTGAGGGCTGCCAAGCAGGCCTGTTACTTCACAGGTGCCCAGCCCAGGGTGCAAGGCAGCCCTGGCTCGAGTTGCTGGCAGCCTGGGCCACCACCACAAGGCCCCACACATTACTCACTGAGGCATGTACCGGGCGGCCACCCAGGTGAGAAGTGTCCTCTTCCCTTCACCCCCTCAGCAACATGCTCTGCCCTTGCAGCCCCCAGAGAGACAGGCGTGGCTCATGATCCCGCCTGCTTTGTTTTGGACGTGACACTCCCACCCATTTCCCAGATGTGGAACCTGGGGCTCAGACAGAATGCCCAAGGGCACCAGGGCACCAGAGCTGGAGCTGGAGCTGGAACCTGGGGGTGTCCAGTCGGAGCCCCCCCTCCAGGCCTGTCCCTCCCCGGGCTTAGAGTTGGTGTGAGGTTAAATGAGATCGCATGTGCCTGGGGCCCAGGGGTCCCTACTCTGGGATGCAGTGGAGCCCAGACTCTCTGTAAGAGAGTTAGTGTTGGGTGCAGAGGTCCTGGCTGCAGAGGGCCCCCAACCACAATTCCTCCCCCTACCCCCTAGGCTGCCCGGGCTGTCACACGGTTTCAAGGATGGTCCAAAGGTCACTGAGGAGGCAGAGCTGGGCAGTGAACTGTCCAGCCGGGTCACCCAGTGTCTAAGCTGTGCTCGGCCCTGAGGCTTTGCCGCCCATCCTGACAGGCTGTGTGACTTGGGGAGAGTCAGCACCCTCTCTGGGCCGAGCAGCTGAGACGAGTGAGGGAGAGGAGGGGCAGCCCAAGCTTGGAAACAGGCACAGCGGACCCTGGCATGACCGAGGGCAGGGGCATCCTCCACGGGTCCACCTTCTTCTCTGCAGCTGGAGAAACTGAGGCCCAGCGAGCAGCCAAACCTGAGCCAACCCACAAAATTGTCAGGCTTGACCCAGGAGAGCCACGTGACCTGGGAGCCACTCCTTCGGAGCCCCTGCCTGACCGCCCACCTCCTGCGCAGGCTCGTCCCCCTTCGGCCTTTGCTCACCGCCCTCCCGCTGTGTGTTCACAGCACCCTCATCACAGCCTGGTCCTTCCTCCCAACCCCCACCAGGCCCAGCCTGCCCACTCCTTCTCTGGGTCTGGTGTCCGGGGTGGGGAGGGGGGGTGGAAGACTCACCCCATATTGTAGTTTCTCTCAATGGCCCATCTGGACTATGGTCAGTCACCACAGTGGAACCAGCACCTATGGCTGAAGCTGACCCCTGAGCTCTAAGGGACCCTGGGACGGACCCCAGCCTCGGGCAGCAGGACCCCAAGACCGCTGGACAGGGAGAGGCCGCTCTCACAGACCTCGGGGCAAGGCCGTGACAGGGCCCTGGGAAGCCCAGGAGGGGTGTGGTCGGGGGCCTCTGCAGCCAGGGCTGCTGTGCCCAACGCTGGCTCCCTTACCGTCTGGGCTCCACTGCATCCCAGAGTGGGGACCCCTGGGCCCCTGACCCACATGGTCTCATTTAACCCGCACACCAACTCTAAGGGGTAGGTGGAGCCCATTCTACAAGCTAAGAAAACAGAGGCTCGGAGGAGGGAAGGGACGTGCCCAAAGGCAGGGGTACCAGGTGGCAGAGAGGGAAGCACCCAGGCTGCCTAGGTGGTGGCGCGGCAGCGGAGCGGAGGGTGCTGTGTGAGCCGGGCCAGGGCCCCCATCTGGAATTTGAGCCGGATCCCTCTGGGAGTCAGGGGTGGGGAAGAGGTGGGAGGGAGGGAGGGAGGGAGGAGAGTTGGGAAGGGAGAGCAGCTGAGCAAAAGCCTGAAGGGCCCTAAGGCTCTCGGAGCCCCTGTGCGCTGGGTCAGAAACACCAGGAACGGTCTTCGTTCTGTGTCTGACGACGCCGTCGCCAGGACGGAGCCTGGTCAGCGGTGACAGAGAAAGGAAAGGGCTGGGACGGGAAGGATGGTGTGAGGAGGGGACACTTACCTGTCACATCTGTGGCTCTAGAACAGCCTCCTCAGGGCAGGAGGCTGCACCTGCTCGCAGCCTCCCTGGCAGCCAGGATGCAGTCATGTGACTGCTCTACCAACCAGGGGCCGCCGGAGAGGGGCATGCGGGGACTGCCCTCCACACCCCACCTCCAGTGCCCCGCCCCCAGAGCCACGTTTCCCTTGAGGCTTTGCCCCCCATCTGAACCACAGCAACCAGTGGCCGAGAGGGCAAAGGGGACACGCCGAGCTGTGGTGAGGGCAGCGAAATGTCCAGTGTTCACGGAGCAGTATCTTCTGGTCTTTGCTCACTGGGCTCACTGCCCAGACTGTGGCCTGGACACCCTCCAGTTATTCTCAACCCCCCTGGCTCTCTCTTTTCAGTCCAATGGTCATTTGAGGAAGCAACTTGCCAAGGCAGAGGTGGGAGAATGGGATTTCTTAGACCCAGCTTCTATCTGGGCCACCTACTCATCCATCAGTTTATCCATCCACCCAACCAACTATATCCATCATCTCATTCATCCACTCACTTGCCCTTCTCCACACCTATTGTGTCATCCATCCACCTACCCACCCACCCATCCTTCCATCCATTCGTCTTTTCTCTTCCTTATCCATGCTTTCCTACAGTCATCAACAAGCCCCTGTTAAGCACCTCCTTTGCGTCCACCCTGTTCCCTTTTGGAGACGACCATCCCCAACAATTCCCAGGGGAGCAGGAAGATCATCCTTCCCCTTATTCTCTCAGTCTCAGGCCACTAGCCCAGGCGCTGAGGGGTGAGGAGCCCACCAAAGCTGGCCTGGGGGTGTTGGGAGTGGGCTTCCAGGTGGAGGACTGGGGAGAGGGCAAGAGGCTGGTCACAATGGACCAGATATGCTGTTCACTGAGCCCCAGCCCACACTTCTCCGTAAAGCCCACCATTTACTGTTTACTGTATGAACTCAGTTCAGCCCTGTCCTGTCTCTAGACCTCGGTTTCCCCATGTGGCAGACTCTGCCTGCTCTGACCTTCTGGTGTCTAGGAGCAGGGAGGACAGCTGTGGCCACCCCGTGCACAGCCCCTTCCGGTGCTCACCGCAGACATCAGTAATCCACACAGCACTCCTTCCTATTGGTTGTACACACAGCATCAGGGTTCTTGTCGATTACCTACTGCAGGGAATTGGCCAGATCTGATCACTTCAGGTCGGCTCCCCAAACCTTAGGGGTGAGGGGAGCTGTTAGAAATAGTTCTGTGTTTGCCCCGGGGGTGTGCTGGAGTGTCGACTCATGAACCAAGAGGTCACTGGTTCGATTCCCGGTCAGAGCACATGCTGGGGTCGCAGGCTCCATTCCCAGGAGGGGGCGCGCAGAAGGCAGCCGATTGACGATGTTTCTCTCTCATCGATGTTTCTATCTATCCCTCTCTGTTCTTCCTCTCTCTCTCAAAATCAACAAAAACATATTTTTAAAATAGTAATAGCTCTGTATTTTGGGAGCCTAATTATAGATCCTAATATAAGAGAGAGTGTTCCTTTTTTAAAAAATATGTTTTTATTGATTTTAGAGAGAGAAGAAGGGAGAGAGAGAAGAGACATTGATGGGAGAGAAACATTGACTGGCTGCCTCCTGCATGCCCCCTACTGGGGGATCCAGTCCACAACCTGAGCATGTGCCCTGACAGGGACTCGAACCCACAACCTTTCGGTGCATGGGATGATGTTCAACCAACTGAGCCACACCGGCCAGGGCAAGGGAGGGCTTTCTAACCACCTGAATTGCCCAACCTTGTGGGGGTGAAGTTTCTGTCACCAGACATATCCAAGCAGAGGGTCAATGAATCTGTCAGGAGGATGCCCAGGGGATTTGGGCCCCGAGAGAGGGGGCCCAGCAGCCCAGAGGTCTGTCCACCAGGGAGACTGTTCAGACAAAACCCTGGGAGCAGGACCTTTGCACTCTTGGAGGGGACGCTGCCTTTTGGGGACCGAGCACGTGGGCAGCAGTTGGAGAGAGAGGGTGTGGGGGTGGGGCGCTGGAGATGGGCAGAGCGCTCACAGGAGGGTGCAGCTCTGGGAGCCCAAGGCCCAGCTAATCAGCTTCTTCTTCATGGCGGTATAGGGCGGGTAGTGGAGTTCATTCAGCTTCTCCAGGCCCGAATGGGAGAGCAGGCAGGCGCGGTGGTTGGAGAAGGTGTCGAAGGAGAACTTGCCGTGGTATCTTCCCATCCCGCTGTGGCCTGCATGGGCACGCACGTGAGGGTCTGAGGCTGGGCAGCCCACTGCCCACCCCTGGTAGCGAGCTCAGGGAAAGCCTGGCCATTCTAAGAGCCATTTTGCAGATAGGGAAACTGAGGCCGTGAGAGGCCCAGGGCTTAGATCAACATTAACAGTGAATGAAGGCAAAACTGGGCTTTTCTGGGTCTGGAGTACCCACACAGGCTTCCCGGGGGTGGGGGCTAGAGGTGGAGGAGGGTGGGGCTCACCAACTCCCCCCATCGGCATGGACCACAGAGTCTGGTACATGAAGCCCTCGTTGCCTCCGAAGTTGCCACTGCTGGTCCGCGCCAGCACCTGGTTCACCACCTGGGGGCGGTGGGGGCAGAGTGGTGGGCTCATCGTCAGGAAAGGGGGCTCGGCCCAGCCGTTCCATGGGGAGCAGAGGCGCGCCCCGGCTCCATCCTCTACTGAGCAGCATCGCCTCTCAAGCACTTCCCGGGCTGTCTGCACCCCTTCAGCTCCTCTGTTGCCCCAACCCTGCCTGGGCCCACCTGGCTGCTATTGGAGAAGGTGTACAGGGCCAGGGGCTTCTCCCGGCGGTTGATGAAGTCGATGGCCTCGTCCAGGCTCCTCACGGTCACGATGGGCAGGATGGGCCCGAAGATCTCCTCCTGCATCACCGGCTCCGTCTCCTGCACGTCCACCAGCACCGTGGGGGCTGCCCGGGCACAGGGGACGGCTCAGCCCCGGGCGTGGGGCCTCGGGCAGGGCCCAGGGACCGGGCTCCAGGCTCGGGGATGTTCTAGGGAAGAGTCTCCCCACGGCCCTGAGAAGTGACCGGGAACCCCGGGCCCCAGCCTTGGTCTGACAGTCTCAGGGTGACCGGATCTCAGACCCCTGGAGCCCAAGGTCCCAGGTCCCAGCCTGTGGGAGCAGCAGCGTCACCGAGTCGTGGGGCCCAGAGGCCGGGGCTGCTTTGTAAGGACAGCCCAGCGGGTGCACAGGCCGGGAATCGTGGGCCCACAGGACCCGGGGTCACGGCTGTGGAGCAGCAGATGCTGGGGCTGAAGCTGGGATCTGCGTGTTCGGGAGCCTGGACACTGGGCCCAGCTCCGAGAAGCAGGGTCACGGGGTCACAGGCTCGGACCATGGCGACCTGTGGCGTTAGTGTCTGGGAATCGTGGCAGCAGAGCCGTGGACCCGGCTGGGCTCCGTCAGTGGGGCCCTGGGAACCTCAGGGCCCAGACTGGCCCAGCTGTGGCCTCCAGCGAGGGAGGGCCTTAGCCGGGGTCCCGGGGCCGGAGAGCGGGACTCACCGATGTAGCGGTCGCTCTCCTCACTCTGGCCCCCGATGGCCACGCGGCCACAGCCCAGCAGGCCCCGGAGCCGCTGGAAATGCTTCTCACTGATGATGCGGCCCAGGTCTGGGGAGGCCCTGGGGTCCTCGCCATAGAAGCGGGTGATGGCGCTCTGCAGGGCGGGCACCAGCCGCTCCTGCATTTCGGGGCTGCACAGGACGTAGTCGGGGGCCACGCAGGTCTGGCCAGCGTTGAAGTAGCGGAAAAAGGCCACTCGGTTGGCCATGGTCTGGGCATCGCAGTTGTCATCCACGTAGCAGGGGTTCTTGCCCCCCAGCTCCAGCGTGACGGGCGTCAGGTGCTTGGCGGCTGCGGCCATGACAATCTTGCCAACTCGAGGGCTTCCTGGGGACATGGGATGGGCCTTCATCCTCAACTGGCCTTGGCCAGATGGTTCAGACACCACCTAGGATCTGCCTGGCCAAGCTCCCCGGGATCCCGCCCCCAAGACCCAGAGGCCTGGCTGGTTGCCATCTGGGACACTCCCTACTGGGGGCCACAGCCACCTACCCCCATGGCCTTTTCAACCTGCTCTTGGATGTCCCTGACCCAGGACACTGGCTGGGGCCATCCTCACTGCTGGGGTTCTTGTCCCAGCATCAAGAATCTGGAGAAGGGGCTGTGCGTAGATGACACAGGAAACCAGGGACTAATAAAGAGTCCGGAGACCAGATATAATTTTGAAAGGCATTGGGGGTCAGAGGACCTTCAGCTAAAGGAACTGAAGACTCCCTCCTTGCCTAGGACCCTTGCTTTTATTAACACAATTTGTCCTAAGGCAAGGTGGAGATAATACACTTCAAAGGGTAAGGTTCAAAGGGTACAGAAGCATTGTCAGTTTGGGGAATAGTCTACGGCTGTTCAGGTGTTTGGCCAGTAGGAGGCAATAACATGTAGATTAAGATGCCTTTTAGCTGTCTGGCAGCCACAATCAGTTTAATGTATCCAATTCAGGTATGGGGAAATGCCTTTAGCCATTCACAGATGCAGGTGACTACATGTGTGTGTGACTCAACCCTGCTGAGTCCCCAAGTCTCATCAACCTTTTGATGAAACTCTTGAAATTGTGACATGCTGGAATTGGTTCCCGGCACCTCACCTGTAAATAAGATGTAGTCAAACTTGTGTTTCAGAAGCTGCCCGGTCTCCTCGGGCCCCCCCAGCATCACGGCAAAGCAGCTCTGCAAGGAGGGACCGCAGCTCAGGGGACTCTGTGGGCCCCGGGACAGCCAGACCTCCCAGGTGGGCAGGGGCAGGGATGCGGGACACGGGGCTGAGTGGGTAGGGCCACGCTCACCTGGTCCAGGTACCGGGGCAGCACCTCGGCCAGGACCTTCTCTGTGCCCTGGCTGATTTCTGATGGCTTCAGCACTATGCAGTTCCCTGCAGGGGCAGATAGGGGAGACACAGGGGGACGCTGGTGTCCCCACCCCCACCCCGGGGCTGTCATCGGAAAGCAGAGGTGCAGGGAGGGTGTGCGAGGCTAGGGCACAACGTAATGGAATTCTGGGGCTCCCCTGTGGAAAGGGAAGGTGGGCCAGGAGGGCTCGGACCCTCTCCTCACCGGCCGCGAGGGCGCCCAC